GTATGAGAAATAACTTCTATGCACCAGGCACCTTCCTTTTTGTGTAACTTATATTTCCTTTGTCTTCTATTTCTCCTTCCTCCTAAGAGCACATACAATCTGAACTTCTTGAAAGCATTCATTCAGAGCTTTCTGAGTCAGTGTTTTGAATTTCAAACTGCATTTCCCAGGATCCTAAGCAAAATTCTTTTGCTCTCCGTGGTTCGTTCTCCTGACTTTTGACATCTCTAAGCAAAAATTTTGCAATGATAATGTACTCACATATATGTTCTTCTCCCCAGTTGTGAGCTAAGGTCCTAGAAAGAGACTAGGAAGTCTGTCTGGCGTTTTACTATAAGGGGAGGGGGTAAGTAGATATCATTTTATTTTCAGTCTATTTTGTGTCCCACTTAGAAGTTCTAAATGGCGTTGCTGATCCTGGTTGATCTCTCAGCCCTGACTGGATTACAGAAAGAGAGGAGAGAGACACGGATGGATGGACAGACAAGACAGAAGGATGGACAGTTTGCAAGAAGACAGTCCTCTCCAGTGTTTGTAGATTTTCCTTATGAGTCAGCGTTCTCTGACAGTGTCTCAGTCTGTCTGATCCGCAAGAGAAGGCAGTAAACACTTTTTAAATGGGGCTGTGGACACAAAAGGGATTCTGTGCAAACAATGTGAGGAAGTCAGTGAGACTGGAATTTGGTTCACAGCTAATTAAAGAGTGCTTCCTTGGGACCCAGAAAAAAGGCACTGAGAGTTGTCATGGGAATATCTTCACACCTCACTCGCCGCCGGGGGTCATCGCAGAAGAAAAGTGTGTGTGTGTTCAGAAATACTGTCAAAGCTTTAATGTTTCCCTACCACATCTACATTGCTTCTTCTTATAACTTTCTGGAACTGAGATTTTTCTTCCATTTTGTTTCTGTGAAAAAACCAAAAATGGTTCAACTGACCAGTGACTTGAGACAGAGATTAGAGCATAGTCCTAGCCTTTACTATTTGCTGCAACCACCACGTTGATTCCCTTCCAGTGCCTCGGTAAAAATAATTACAGCTAACATTTGTGGAGTCTTTCTTCCTAAGCACCACAGGCACTTTGTTCAAATAGATCACCTTAAAATTTTTCTCACTTAATCTTCATAATAACACCCTAGGGGTGGTTACTTATTTTCAGTCTAGAAATGGAGTCTCAAATAAGTATTTTTCCAGGGGTTTCACAGCTCAGAGGGTGGGTGAGGGAGGGGAGTAGAAGTTAGAATCCAAGCTCTCTGGACTCCTCTTGACCAGCCCATTCCACTGGCTTCATCAACAGCTGTGCTACTTCTTGCCTCCACGATCAGAGAAAGCTCTTAACATCAGTCCTCTTCCCTTCTCTCCTACTTCCTGCTATCTGCTTTTCACACATAGAACCTGGAGGCTCATTTCCCAGGAGCCTCACCCTCTGAGGGGTTCCACTGTGAGACATAACAGTTGACATTTGGAAAGTCACAAATACAGTCTTCTATCAACACTCATCAGACAAAAACAAGGATATGGCTGCTTTTCAATCAAAGCTGCTGAAACCTTGGTCTCAGAGATCCCCTCTCCCCTCAGGGAATACAGCAACCTAGTTATCTCTCAAATTATTCTGACCTTCCAAGGCCAAGTCCTGTTAGCTCTTCCTAATCCAAAAATAATTAGTGGATAACAGACCCCAGCTTGTTGAGACAGAGAGTTATTTGTAGGGAATTTTCTTGGCTGAAGCAAATGGTTTTGCAGGAATCACTAACTCTAATAGATTGTCCTAGGCTCCAGCCACCTGCTTCGGTAGCCCCCTGTCATCTCTGACAGCAAAAGGTCAGGCAGGTCAGGATGATGATCCTGGAGATACAATGTTGCCACCACATTGTCACAGATGGGGAGAATTAGGCCCATGTCCCAGCCATCTGGAGAGGAGACTGAGTGGATGGTCAAAGGCATTCCAAGGAAGCAAGCAGGAGCACAGGTTACAAAGACAGGGAGGCCTGTCCAAAACTGGGGTACTGGCTGGCTCTGAGAAGGGTTTTGACATTTGTTGGCAGAGAAATGGAATGGTAAATAGTAAACAAGGCAGAATAATTGTTATGGCTTGTCACAGTCCAAGGGCTACTGCAGGAGACCTAGAAATATATGGCACCGGAAGGTGACATCAGAAGTTGGTATTTCACGGCGGGGCCAAGAGCTTGAGGCACAGTGTTCCAGTTCACTGTGGCCCTTGCTCATACCTGTAACCAGTTTCCAGGTGAAGCTGTTCTGCTATTCCAGCGATAATACTTTAAGAACCAGCACCACATAAAGGAGAATTCAGAAGAAATGCTAGAAGGAAAGAGGCCACTGTCTGTGGTAACCAATACATGTACAGCGCTCACCACTCCAGGAGGATGGTTTCATTCATTCCTCTTAATGAACGTTAAAGCAGGCTTCCCAAACCTCCCTGTGTAAGTGGGACACTTAGGTCCAGAGAGGTCACATGGCCTGGTTAAGATCACATAAATAGTAAGGGGCAGAGCCATAGCCAGAAATGCAAGTTTTCAAGGCCTTTAAATTAACCCAGTCGCTCTAAAGACAAGCTCCAACCTATCTAGGTGAATTTCAGAAAGACCTGGTGACTCGACTCCTGAATTTACACTATTTACAGTAAAATGTCTATTCAACCTTTCCCCCAGTAAGTAACAATGCAGCCAGCTTCTGCACATCTCTAGTGCCCAAATCCAGTACAGTTAAAATGAATCACGGAGAGCAATGCAGAATTCTACCTCAGAGACCATCGCAAAGGGAGGGCGGAGAAACAGAAGCACAGCAGTCCACAGCTGGCCTCCATGAGGGGCTGGGGTGTGCCACAACACTGACTGGGGATTCCAGGCCTGAGCTGTCTAACAGGCTGACGGAGGGACACTTCAGAACTACATGTCACTTTTGTATAAAGGACTTCTTATCTGAAGAAGAGAGTTCAGGTCCAGAGAAACTACTTATATGCCAAAGGGCACTGCACAAGTTTCTTAACTTAGCCGAAGTTTAGTTTCCTTCCCTAAAAGACTGAACTATGTATGTCAGCTCTGCTACCTCACAGGACTCACAGTGCTCCAAGAGAAATAATGCAACCATGTACAGGCTTGCTGGATCCTTCACAGGGAACAGTAGGATCAGTCATAGGAGACGCCAAGCACAAGATGATGGGGGAGGAACTTGAAAGTGAGGGTCCTTCATTTACGACCTTCTCTACCATGTGGATTTTACCCAAAGCCTAGCTTCTTTCTCTGAGATACAGAAATGCCCACACGAGAGCCTGGGAGTGTAGTGCAATCGATCTTCTTGTACTTGAGACACACTTTGGGAAGTTACAAATTTGTAGAGAATGCTTTAATGGATTTAAAGACTTAAAATAATGGGCCTGGGATTTAGCTCAGTAGTACAGTGTCTACCCAGCAAGAACAAGGTCCTGAGTTCAATCCCCGATACAAAAAAAGAAAAGACTCAAAATAAAACCAACCAGCAATCATGCCCAAACACTACTCTAAAGGGTCTCACTGGTCAATAGCCAAACACTACTACTATAGGATCTCATTGTTTACTATCAGCCCTCCCTTAACACTGTCTCGTGTCTTAAGCAAGCTCAACCATGGATACTCCCAAGTCAAAGCTCCAAGACCCAGGTCTTCCTCTTCCAGTGACACCTTCATCTTCTCCCCTTGGCTCACAGAAATTTAAGACAATCTTCTACTATCTGTTGTTCAGTGGGCTCCAAAGTTCTGTGCCACACACAGGTCAGAGTGGTGCCTTGGGTGGAAAACCCATCTCCCATCTTGACCAAAATGCTGGGTTGAAAAGTTTATATCACACTTGGCTTCTGGTGCAGAGAAGGGAGACAGGAAGTTTGATCCTCATTGGGCAATGACTCATTCTGAGTGCCAGTTTCCTAATCTGTAACATATGGATAAAAATGGGAATCCCACGGCCTCCCACGGCTGCTGTGAGACTCAAAGCACAGGAGGGATGTGAAAGTAAACAGAGAATCATCCTGTAATAATGCAGTATAGCAAGAACTAAAACCACAAATTTAACAACTGCTCTTTGTATCAGAAAGGCTGCAAAGCACAGCGGTTAAGAGTGTGGGTCCAAACTATGGCACTGGAACTATACAAGTGGTTTCAAATCCCAGGTCTTCTGCTTACTTCCTTTGGGTAAGTGACTGAAGCTCTCTGATCCTTAGGTTAATCATCCAGGAAAGAGGGTTAAATGAGTGAAAAGGGAGAAAGCCCTGAGAACTGTGCCTGGAACTCAGGACGGGCTCTCTGAGGCCAAACTGCTGGTATGATGACCATAACCATGAGCACAGCCACGAGCTTGACTGTAACCCTATCGTCATGACCATGAGCATGGCTGTGACTGTTAGCCTGAGCATTAAACCTTATTGCAACATGAGGTTCGGTGTGACTTTCTACCCCCTTTCCCCATTCTCACCTGTCCTAGCACAAGAGCATCTGCTGATACTTACATAAGGTGTCTCGAGAGCACAAAAAGGGACCTTCTCTGTCTCTGCCCAGTACACATGCCTGGAGGGGCCACAGTACCTTAAGAATGATGAAGAGCACTGACATTCATGGAGTGCACAAGGCTGACCACTTAAATGCATGCTTTTGTGTAATCTGTATCTCTTTGGAATGTGTAGATGTGAACTACCACGTTCTCTTTTTGTACAGTAAGGAGGCCACGGTGCAAAGCAGTGAAGTCACATGTACAAAGTGCTACTGCCAGAAGTGCTACAGCCAGGGCTTGAGCCCATTCCCTTTTCATTCACTTCCAGGACCACTGGAGCTCAGGTTGCTCCTGCCCACTGGGGAGCGGGTAAGCACACAGGCTTGAAGTTGGGTGGGGCCGTGCTCCAGACACACAGACTTGAAGTTGGGTGGGGCCGTGCTCCAGAATCCCCCACTTGCATGACTATAGGCCACCCCTTTGTTTGGCTGTGAAGCAATAATGAAGAAGAGGCTGTAGAGAGACACAAGCATGGAATCCACAACTCAGTGACTAGAGGCTGTTACTAGAAATGATTCGAGTACTCAGCCTTGTGGGTGGGCAGCAGGGCTCCAAATTTCCCTTAAAAAAGACAAGTCCAATAGGCCAACTATAAAGTACGTGAGGCACGATAGAAAATTCTGGAAGGTGAAAAGAAATAGCAGTAAGAAAGAGGAGATCAACTATGAGGGTGGAGAAGGGGAGGAGGAAGGGTCACTAGGGAGGGGAGGGGTGGTGGGGGATGGGGGAGCCTGCATGCAGGGTGATGGATGTTTTGTTACCTTGGTTATGCTAATGGCTTCCTAAGTATACACATCAGTCACGGTGTATCAAAACGGTGTACTTTAAATATATCCAATTTATTGTATAGAAATTGTACATCTATCTATCTATCTATCTATCTATCTATCTATCTATCCATCTATCTATTTTTCTGCTAGGAATCAATCCCAGGATCTCACACATGCTAGGCAAGTACTTCTACCACCGAGTTACATTTCTGGCTCTTACATCTGTTTCATTTTAATTTTTGTTAGTACGTGTTTGCAGTGCACACAAAGATTATATTCACCATGGGAAGTTAGTACATATACACAACACTCTTCATTCTTTTTGCTTCCTCTTCCCTGTCCTCCTTCCCGTTTTCCCTCATCTCTTTGCCTCCTTTTCATTTGCAAAAGTTCTATTTCCCTGTTTCCTGTTATTTTTCATTTTGCTTTTTAAATTATTTATACTTCAGGTTTAAAAAGCATGTGGTATTTCAGCTTCTGTGTCTGATTTATTTCACTTAACATTATGGTCTGAAGATGCATCCGTTTTTGTACAGATAACTGAAATTTATCCTTCTTTGCTCCATTGTGTTTAAATACCATGTTTCTGTATCTGTTCGTCATAGATGGACTCATAGGTTGCTGCACACAGCTGTCTGCAAAATAGCAGGTCTAGCATATGAATGGGTGCTTTCCACTAACAGAAGAACCAGCTTCACTCTTACTAGCTCAGCACAGCATTCTGGAGATAAGCGTGTGAGCTCACTTCCCAACTAATCTCTCTTTTCTTTCCTAGTTCACCAGGTAGCAGGAAAAGATAACCAGGCAGAGACACGGAGAAGTAAGCAGGTGTTTGGCAAACTGAGGAGCTGAGAAAACGTATTGGATCATTCAATGAAACATAATGAGGAGAAGCTTTTGTTAATGAAAGAGCTTTCATAATTCTCCTTGTTAGCCCTCAATATGGTCTCGACAATTCTGTTAATTAAGACAATTTTCATCACTTGAGTCATCGGCCACCTTTCAAAGGGGTCAACCAAGCTAATAGGTAATGAAGATCCTAGCACATTACAATTATCAGACAAATGCAATTGTTCGGATAAACCAGAAATTGAAAATATTTCTGGCTCACGGGCACCTCATATTAAGAGTAGAATCAATAACGTCTGACATGGCTCTTTTTGGTGGGCAATTCACAAAATTAGTTCTTATGTATAGTAGTCTGAAAATTCACTTTTACTTGGTGTTTGAAAGCAAAGGAAAACCATATTACTAATAGTGGAAGATGACATTTATTCCAGATTTACCATACACCAGGTACTTCCTGAGCACTTCATGGATACAGTTCGGTTTGATCTACACACTAACCCTACCAGGTGGATTGCCATCAGTTTTCTCATTTCTGACAGGAGGATATGCAGTTACAGAAGGTTCAGTGACTGTACCCAGATAAATAATAAATAGCATTTGACCAACAATAACAGCTCAAATGTTTTAGCGCCTGCTATGTGCTAGAACTTTGCCAAGCACTTCCTATAATTTCCTTTTTAAAACTGGTACTAACCATACAAATGAGGTATAATTATCCTCATCTTACAGGCAAGGCAATTGAGGTTCTAAAATATTAAGTAGTTGTCCCCGGTCTCTCAGTTAATTAGTATAGAGTCAGATTCTAGGACTAGATTCATCTACTTCCAAATCCAAGGACTACTGGAAGAGCCTGTGTTTCTATGGTCCGGCTAAAACCTTCTTCTCCTCACCTCAGGTTGAAGATTTCCATTCCTCTCATATGAGAGGCAGCCACGCAAAGGGCGAAGAGAACAAACCATTTGTTTAATTTCACGTGTATGTTTTAGAGCCTTAAACGGCACAGAATGTAATCTGACTCATAGGAAATGCTTTAGAAAGCAATAAAGTAGATTAAATTAAAGTATGGGTTGATGGTGATGATTTAGCAAACTGCAGCGGTGTTAGTAAAAATGAAATAGAAGATCTCTTTGCATATTATCTCCCTAAAGAGTGTCGCCGAAGAAACACTCTTTGCACATAAAAGAATGAGAATATATACATACAATAAACATAAACTACAATAAATGAAAATCTGCTTCTTCCATAAATACTGTCTACTGAACCTACACCAATAAGGTAGAAGGACTTTAGAGCCCGAGCTGGGAGAAATGAGAAGGGATGTAAGCATTTCTAGCAGGGCTGGGTTTGAGAACCAAATCAACTCATCAACAGAGCGTTCCTTCTCCTCCCGTGTTCCTCCAGAAAACTTGAGGAAAGATTGAAGGCACGGAGCTGCCCCCGAGGAGTTCACAGTCTGGCACCAAGACATGCGTATCCAAAAGCAAGAAATGCAACAGAATGGGATGAGGGCTCTCAAAACCTCATGTTCAAAAATTGGAACAAAAGCTAGACTTCTGTGCAGGGTGCAGCCCATCTCTCTGTTGGTGTGGAAACTTGTCTCCTTGCATTCCTCCAGTACACTAAGCCCTTTCCTTTCCCCTCAGCTGACTTTGTGCTTTTAGCCAGAATGCCCGCTCTACCCATATCCTGGCCCATACCTCCCGCAACACACACCCACTTCCACTTTTCCTTTGGGAGCCTGAAGGAGGACACAATGTTTCTCAAAGGAAAGAGAGAAAAGGTAGGACAGGAATGGGATGTGGTGACTGTCCTAACACAACAGAGAGTATTAGGGGAAGAGAGGGAAGCATGGTGCCCTGGTGTGTTGGCCTGAGGAATGAGAGCAGAGCAGAAGCAAGGACCCAGGTGCAGTGGATCTGCCCATCGCAGTCAGCAGCCCGCCCTGGTTGTGTGTTCTGTGGGGACCATAGTCCGCTGGTCTTGGCAACGCGTAATTGAAAAAACAAACAAACAGAACTGTCTCTGACCACTATGTGGAGGAGAGACTAGAATTTTCCAGATGAGGAAATAGGCCGGACCGGAAAATACTTTTCCATGGTGGTTAACTAGTGAGGACGTAAGTCCCCCGCAGGGCAGGCAGGGACCCCACACGCACATGTTGAAATATCTGGCTAGCGTTTGTCACCCTGTAGTGATGTCTGCTCTGATGGGATTAGAAGAACAGGATCCCTGTCCATTTTAGTAAAACTTCTCTAGGGAAAGCAAAAATTCTAATTGCTATCACTGATTTTTTTTTTAAAGGAAGATCAACTAATGGACATCTTAAAAAACCCACACAGGGACTTTAGCAGAGAACAGGGCCTTGAGATCACCTCGCTCCTTACTGTGCAGTGGTACAGGCCACACGGGTTGCAGAAGAGATGGTCACAGCTGACATGGCTTCCTGCTGGGCAGCAGCCCCCATCCTGGAGAGTGGATACCATGGGGGCGGGAGCATAGTCGTGACAACTGTGACACGGAAGAGGACTGTGGGCCATGGGTGAGTTGCTACTTCCCGTGTCCTGGTACAAGGACAACGGTGAGTGTGGTGGACTCGTGCTGGGGAACAAAAGTGCTGCTACTAGAGTTTCAGCAATGTCAGGAGAAAGAGGAGTCTGGGGCCCAACCGAAGCTCCATGACCAGCTTCGTGACCTTAGGTCCATCACTCCCACCTCTGTGAGCCCAAATTTTTTTGGCTGTCATCAGAAGAGACCAGCCGAGACCTACCAGGGGGCTTTGGAGGTGTACGTGACACAACCGTGTGTGAAAATGATGGAGCCCCGTTGACCAGCTTCGTGACCTTAGGTCCATCACTCCCACCTCTGTGAGCCCAAATTTTTTTGGCTGTCGTCAGAAGAGACCAGCCGAGACCTACCAGGGGGCTTTGGAGGTGGACGTGACACAACCGTGTGTGAAAATGAACCAAGAGAGCCTAACGAGCGGAAGTACACTGATGGGGAAAAAGTAGTCCAAGGTGCACACTTGCCAAACAGGTGTGGAACCAAGTGACACCCGTCTCTCCGGGGGTCACTGCGACCGATTCAAAGGTTCTAAGAGAACTATGTAAATCAAGCTGTAGTTCCCTTCCTACGTTCTTATTTAAAGTTAGAACATCACAACCAAGGTAGAAAAGGAGCCCTGCCTCTTTCTGAATATTGCCCCTGTCGATCTGAAGTCCCTGGTGACCCTCTGGGTTCTCTTGCACTTATGTCTAAAGTCACCCGGCTGCGCTCATCAGCGTTGCAGAGAACATTCCTTAGTCACCTGCTTGGTAAGCACAAACATGTCAGGCACTGTAGTGGGCACAGTGGGTAGGTGTCAAATCCCAGGCCTCCTGGATGTTGTACTCTTCCTATGCTGTGGGAGGAAGGAGGGCAGTGCTCAAGAATTAAGCTTATGAAGCAGTAAGAACCCAGCTTTGCAGCTCTGTGTTACGCGGTGCACAGGTCACGAGCACAGGGTCTTTAGGCAGAGGCCCCCTGCTCACACTGAGCCTGTTGCTTCCCCCTGCATGATTTGGGGCGAGGGCTTTCACCTTTGTGGGTCTCAGTGAGTGAGGACGAAAGGAGTTAGTGCACAGAAAGCCCTTAGGGTGACGCCTGGAATTTGAGAAGAACTGAAGCATTGGTAGTTACAATTTTTATAGTTGTATCTGACCGGTCCCACAAGTGATTTCACAAACACTGTAGAAGAGAATGCTTGAAGGTGATCGATAAACTGGCAAGATTATAGAGTAAAAATAAAGCGTATTTCTATGTGACCTTCCAATTGACAACATATTTTCATACATATTGTCACTTGATAAAACAAGCTACTTGAAGCAAGCCATGTTTCTTAGCGTCTCCATCCATTACAGTCTTCATTACTTAGCCAGCATGTAGTAGGTGTGTACTCAGTGTCTGTGGAATGAATAAATGCAGACGGGAGAAGTGAGAGGGCATTTACTATGAGGCGACCACTGTGCCTGATGTCTTTTAACTCAGAGAGCTCTGGTGAATCTCTCAAGGCCACACAGCTAAGCAGTGGCAGGGGCTGAGTCTTTAACTCAAAGCCAGGCCGCACCAAATACACTTATGGGACACGAGGCATAGATTCTCAGCTCATGATCCCATCTTCCCTTGCTAGCAATGTAGAAAATGTGTCTGTCCTTTGCCCCCATTCTTATTGCAAGGACCAAGTACACCCTACCAGCAGGGGGCGCAAGGAGGTCTCCCAGGGAGACAGTTGCTGCTGCTGATCTGTGTCTCACACTAAAGGGAAAGCTCCTAAAACATGAGGGTATCTTCAGGACCCAGTGGAAAGGCACTAGCCCCTAAGTCACCCCAGGGTAAGCGATGTAAGCTGGAGCTGCTCTTTTGTTAATGAGTCAGCATGATCACAAAGCAGCAATATATCTATAGTTCCTCAGGCTAGACCCCTTCCTCAGTTGCAGTTGTTTTTTTAACTCTATCTAAGCCTCTCCCTGATGCGTTTTGAAATTTTTTTTTTTTTTTTTTAATGACAAGAATCAATGAACTGATTCCACAGGGCAGGGGGCAATTTGGGGTCCTTATCTTCTCTTTGGAGGACCCTTTCAGAACCCATCTAGTGACATGCCAATTTCTTGACTTCACCTGAGCTGAAACAAAACCAAATCAAACCTTGGCTCATTGGTAACAAGGGCAGAACCAAATCCCTTTCCTGTAGGTTTTCTGGACCTCTGTTAATGACACCCTCTTTCTGCCTAGCATAGATAAGCATTTATTCATTTATTGGTAGCAAAAAATATTATTTGCTATGTACCTGCCATGATGTCTGGGAATGTGTGTCTATAGCTTTTCTGAACAACAGCATCCATCAGGGTCCAAATCCTTTCTAGGAACCAGTCCTTTACCACCCCAGTGCAGGAGATGCCACCTCACCGCAGGCCTGTCCTAGATCAGAAGCCCATCAGGCACTTTAGTTATATCCAATGCCCCACCTGATCTGATCCCTGACTCTGCCCTTCTCTCACCTGCTCCTGGGATGGAGGGGCAGTCTGCCTGCAAGGTCTTCTCCAGAGCTCTTTCTTCTCTCAAGACATGTGCTATGCTATTCCTCCCCTCTGGTAGATCTTACCACCTGGGGAGGACGACTCTCCTGAATTTTGCCCACTATGTTAGGGTCCTCACTGTGTTTCAAAATTCTGCCAGGGCTTCCTAGGAATGGCAGATTCATTGTAAAGAAAAGAGACAAAACTGCCTGCCCTTAGGAGTTTCCCTTCCTGTGGAATATAGTTTTTTTTTTTTTCACAGAGTCCTTATAATTGTGATTATTTGAATGATCACTGCTTGGCCGTCTTTTGGTGGGAAACTGGAAAATCTAGGGTAACAGAGAAGGGTCCAAAGTCATCACTAAATCCTCAGAGCCTAGCATGGGGCTTGAAACCTAGCAGGTACTACCTAAGTTAATTCAATAAAAGTTCACAGGAACAGTGCATGAGTGAATGCATGCATACATTTAAAATTTGCATAGCATCTTACAGAGATTAATTCTTTAAATGGGTGACTGAAAAGAAAGGTGTTCAAGTTCCCACTGTCAGAAATTCAGGTAATCTATGATCTTGAAGGATTCCCTTCTAGCTCCAAAGTGTGGCACCCACACTTCTGCAAGGCAAAGGTATTCCAGAATAAGTCACATGATAGTAATTATCTTCCCCAATATGCCTATAAATAGTTTCAGGCAGCCCTCTGTCCCAGACTTGTTTCATTACTACGTTTCAGGGATGAGTTTTTAAAGGCAGATTTCTTTTTCAAGCTTTGGCAATTTGGGGGCTACAGTTGGCTTATAGAAACCATGCTTGCAGGTGCAAAAAAAAAAACATTTTGCATACATAAAAAATGCAAGGGGGTCAGGCTGAATTCCTTTGAAAATGTGGCCTTACATCTTTTTATTTTATTTTCCTGAATTTTTGATGAGGATGGATTTTGTTGGTGGGCTGCCCATTTTAATAGCACACTGGAATTTGGCAGTTCCACTTGGGAATCCATTGAAATGCAAAGAGAGGCCAGGTCTGTAAGGAGGATCCCTCCCTCTACCTGCATTCACTTGTGAAGAAGAGAAAATGTAAAGTGGAATTAACCATTAGGTTACTGGTTGAATGAGGGTTAGAAATTTGGAGTAGGGTGAGGGTGAAGGAGAAGTCTTAAAAAATAAGGAACAGCACTACACCTTCCACTTAGATCAGCACTTCACGGTTTAGGAAAGCATTTTTCCATCATCCATTATTTTATTTCAGCATTATTGAAACCCTGTGATTAAGTAATCACACTGGTACCAATTATCTTTTTTTTTTTTCCTGTACAGATCAGATCATGTAATTTCCCTACTTTGATAAGTTCAGAGAGGTCCTGTTCCTTGCAGGATTAAGTCCCAAGTCAAGATTGAGCATATGTGAATTTAGCCCATCTTCCACCTCCCTTCATTCTCTGGTAATGAACCCACAGGCTCAGGCCTTGCTGGCTCAGATTTCCCAGCACAACAAAGGAAAGGCAGTCACTTAGGTGAATGTATGCTAGGAAGTCCTGCAATCCCAGTCTTCATACTGGAGATCTGACTCGGGAACAGGACTATGGATGGGTAGACTGAGGTGCTGACACACGAGTGATTCAGGTAGATGAACAGTGGGTACAAAGATGCAGCCAAAAAGCACCATTCCCGCTAGCAGCAGCCACACTACGAACCAACCTACAATTCCTCCTATTTCCACATTTTAGACTAAGTCACAGAAAGAGCCCTCCATTCTTCCTCCTCTGGAAAAACCCATTCATCCCTCCAGGCCCTCATTTGTCATTTCCTTCTGTTAGGGACCTGATGCTGCCATCACAGGCTGCATTTTCCTGGTGCTTCTCTTGGCTCTTAAAATGACCTCATGCTCTTATCTTTAGTTTCCCTTCCCCATAAGGTCACAGCAGTCTGGAGAGGTTAAACCTGTTTCTCCAGGACCAAACCATAAAGGGCAACCTGGCCTGTGATAGGTTAAAGGTAGCCCACTCCTCATAAATAAGCAATAGCCCAGCCCCAAAATGATAAAAGGACCTTCCTTTCTTTGTTCTTATCGTCTTCCCTCTCTCCTCTCTCCCTAACCTGCCTTCCCTAATAAAATCTCTTGTCAGACCTCTCCATTTGTGGCCTAGTTGTTGAGCATCACTGTGCCTCTACACCTTCTGTGCTCCTTCTGCTTTTCCACTAAGCTTTCTATTTACCTCATCCTGCTAGACTGCAAGCTCCCTGCAAGCAAGGACTCAGCACACAGTAAGTGAGCAGGGTAGGAAACAGCTGCCCAAGACAGCCAGTAGAAGCACTGGATGAGATGCCAGGCGACTGATGGCTACCAGGCGGCCACAGCAACCAGCTGGAAAACCAGAGACCACCCTTTAACCTAAACTGGGCAAGAGCAAACTGACCCATGGGCTCCTTGTACCACTCCCACCTGACAACTGAGAATGACTTCACATGTGTCTCCTTGGTGGCCTCTATGCAGAACTGCAAGTCTCCATGGTCACCCATGACGACACCTGTGTGCTTCTCAGTTTCTGTATCTCATTTGCTTACAGGGCACCATGCACACCTGCTCTGGTTTTGGATGGCTGACTAGGCAGGGGCTGTGCCTTGCCACCTGTGGCTTAATCTCTTCTTAGAGCAGTGAAAAAAGTCCTGCAGATTTTCCTCAAAATAAATACTGCCTGCTTGCTGGTTTTGTTCTGCAACATAGGTAATTTAGAAACTACAAAATCTCAAAGAGATTAAATATCACTTCTTTTGAAATGGGAGTTGGGGGGACAGGAATCAGTCTCTCCTGTTTTCTCACTCCTCAGCAGGTCCTGTGGTACCTTAGGACCACAAAATCAAACTACTGAACTGGAAAAATCTCTCAGTGTGGCTATCAGTTGACCTGACAGGTGAGTTCTCAGTCTGGATGTGAAACATCAAGAAGAAAGGCCTAAACTGCACACCATCTGAGCCTGACCCCTAACCTGGGAACTCAGTTTGTAGAACACCCTCAGGAGAGCTTGCTGAGCCTTCACTTTCCTTGCATATATGGGAGGGAGCATAAGAGGCTTTGTTGGAATTATCCTGTGGATTATATAAAAATGTGTGTGAAGATAAACAATAAATGGAGGCTGAATTAGCAATTGTGATGAAGGTTGAAGTGCTATCTGTTATTGCCACAAAATGTAGGCATCCCTTGGTATTTGCAATGAATTACTGCCAGTACCCAGGTGGGCTCAAGTCTTTTATGGTGAAATGGTGTATGTATGTAACCTACACACATCCTCCCACAGACTAAATCATCCCTAGATTACTTATAATTCTTAACGTTATGTGAACACTATGCAAATATTTGTTAGACTGTGTTGTTTAGGGAACGATAACAAGAAAAAAATAACAACCCTGTCCACGTTCCGTACAGATGCGAGTTTTTCAAATATTTTCCGTCCCCAGATGGTTGAACCCAGGCACCCAGATCCCTCTGAGACAGAGGGCAGTCTCAGTCTCTCCGTCATGGTGACCGGAGGTGTGTGCCAAGGAGGCTCCAAGAGACAATAATTCTCCATCTCCTTCTCCACTAAAATACAAATGGCGACACAGGCTTTAAAGAGCTTTTGAAAACAGAGGTAAAAGATGGCAGAAACAATTTCTCCTAGGAGCCTCTCATCTTTAGAGTGGCCGGCTGTTTTGTGGAAAATGCGAGTGTACTTTGCAATGCATTGTGGTAGTTTCGGCAAAGAGGATTCCTCTCAGGGAACAGGGGCCTCTGCGTGTTCCCCGCGTCAGTAGGCAGCGTTCTTCAGGAGGGTTACTGCGATACTCCCTCCGAGACATGGTCCGTGTTAGTCTTAACAGTTTCACCTGAAGCCTTTCATTCTCTTCTACACACCCTGCTCTCCTTCTAATACTTAGTGGGCAGCTCCAGTGTGCTAGGCACTCTGTGCCGGGAAACCCATAATCGCAGACATTGTCTCTGCCCAATTTGGGCTTAGCCATGGTGTGAGCAGAGGGGGGACTTAAAAAAGTCCTCCTTTCCAGAGTCCCAAAAGGTAGCCAGAAGACTGCAGGATGATGGTTACCAAGGCGAGAAGCACATCTCATCCTTACTAAAATGGGCACGGTGAGACCAGCCGCTGTACTCAGACAGAGAACTAAAAGTGAACTTTTAACTCACTAAGTGTCAGAGACTGCAGGGTGGAGCCAGGGGCCCCTCACATAACTGTCACAATCACAAGCCAGGGGTTACTGCTCTTATCCTACGGATAAGACAACTGGGGCGCACAGGCGCCAAAGCCGCTCATCCAAGGTCACACAGCTAGTAGGTGGCAGACCCAAGACTGTCTCATCTCACTCCAACTTGCTTCTCTAGCGCCCCAGCTTAACAAATCTAATTTTCTTAGCATGTACAGTGCCTCCAAGTACATTCGAACAGTACAAACCAAATGACTGCCACAAAGAGGCATCAGCAGAGACACCAAGAAACCTCTTGCTTTTATTGGCTCTTCTCCCTCTCTTTTTCAATGCTCTCTCCAGTACCAATTTACTTTATTCTTTTCAATGAGCATTTATCCAATTTAAAGTCAATGAAAAATAATGTACATTTTTCAACAAGTTTACATTAGGCACTGTAGAAGTGCTTATGTGCTCTGTAGTGCTGATGGTGTGGGAGCACAGAGCACATCTGAATGTCTGTAATTGAAGTCCAAAGGGGTTAGCAGGAAGCTGTCTTTGTTCGGTAATTTAGGTAACTAAGAGCTTGTTAGAAAGGCTTTGTGGGAGAAGAGGGGAGGCAGGGGGAAAAAGGGAAGGGAGGCAGACAGAAAGGCTTAGAAAGGGGAACTAGAGATGTTCAATCCACGGGAAATGATCTTCCATCACCACCACCTCCCTGGAGGGGAAATGGTATCTTCATCCCCCAGATGCAACATACTTGGCAGCCAAAGGATTTAGCTTCTGTTTCCAGCTCTACAAGTTTCCAGCCCGCACTGCCTCCTTGGTAAACTCTGGCACGCTAATAGAGGACTCCAAGAAAGAAGGCAGCAACATCAACATTAACAGGCTTATCTTTACTTCTCCCCTATATTCAAGTCAAAATTTCAAGACCCACATGCTTCCTCCTCCACATGTCCCATATCATTCGTTATTTTCTTTATTAAGCAATTTAGTGCCATTGTGTGCCAGGCGGTGGCTCCTGGGTCTTTGTTTTCCTTAAGGAAAAAAAAAAAAAGAGTCCACACTTAGGTCTGACTCTCTCACATTGAATCTCTTGCTCTCAAAACACATTAAGGTCTGTAGTTCTTCTGGTTCGTCTGCTGGTCTGCTGGCCAGTGTTTCACGATCATAACTGAGTCCCGTGTACTAGGCTTTACCAAGAGGCAATGTGGAAAAGGTGTTTTGAAGTCAGAGAGACTTGGGTCTATGCCCTCTTTCAGCCCCTTGCAGTGTGATGTGTAAGACAAAGGTGTTTAACAAGTATCACGCTGCCTGGAAGATGTGTGGCACACCTGCCTGAACACAGGATAAGCACTGGTTTTTTAACAGTGACGATTGTCATTACACCCAAAGGACGAGGGAGCCTGGCACTTGTAAAGGAGTCTTGTATCATGGACTGCTCCCAGGAGTGAATTCAGAAAACCCTGAATTTCCAATGTACACCCTCATCACCACAGTGGCTCCCTCCGTTAGAGAGCTCAACAGAGAAGTACGGCTATGGGCAGAGAGCACAGGGAACTTGTGGACCCAGGGGCGTGGTGGATCTCAGCTTCTGCTCCCGTCCTAGGGAGGTTTCCCCTCTAGACACCGGGTTGTCACCCTTGGTGTCTGGCCTTCCCCGCCTCATCCTTCAGTGCCGGCTCCCTGGGTAGATGTTCTCCAGCTCTGCTTGTTTATGCCCCTCCTCCAAGACGCCGCACTGTGGCGGATCTGGAGTCAAAGCACCTGGAAGGGTATCTGTCCTGTGGCCAACACCCAGCACATGAGCGAGCCTGCTTCTACTCAAGTGGCTTTTCAGGACTAAAGCAAGTGACTTGCACTGCCATTTTTTTTATGCTTATCAAGGTATTTGTATTTAATTTCCATCCCCATTTTGTAGCTGAGGAAACTGAGGCCTAGTGAAATCATTGACTAAGGACATAGTAAGACCTCGATTCAAATCTGAGGCTGTATGACCTTAAGGTTATTCTTACCTATGAAACACCAGCAAAACAGCAACCTTGAGGGTGACGAAGGGTGTACTCAGCTCAGTCACCAGGAGTTCTGAGCCCACAGCAGTTTTCGGAGATAGAAGGGCAAGGTCACAGGGGTTGCTGGTTGCCCTCGAGACAGATGAGCTCCACCTGGTCACCCCCCTTCAGATTTACCTTTCTTTGCCCAGCACTTGGCCCAGGACCTGGCACACATGGGGCATCTAATGGGAACTTAACCTAGCAGAAAAAGCAGCTGAGCAAGTGACTAAGAAATAAAGACAAGAAAGCACTCAGGGAACGCGTGCAGGGACCAGAGTGTCTTGCGGGATGGCAACTCTGCAGGAAAGTGGCATCATTGTACTCCGTGTCTCCGGCTGGGTTTTTATTCATAATCTACCAGCATTTACTGAGCACTACTATGTTTACAGCCAAATGTGACAAGCCTCAACCATATGCTTCAAACACATTTCTTTTTCTCCTTGAAAACATGCTCTCTCCCTCTGCTGCAAAGACAGCTACAGGAACTGGGGGAAGTTTATACTTTGTGTTGCAAACTAGATATTCGCAGGAGGAAAAGCTTAAAGCTTCCTCTGAAAGCTGTCCCTCCACAGTGGTGCACGCGCTTGTTGCTGTCAGTAATGCCCTTTACCTAATCACAAGGCAGATGGATGCCTGGCACCCGGCTTCCATTCCACTCTGCACCTTTTCTCTGAGCTCAGAGGACCAGCCTGCAATATAACTCCTGTCTCCCGTCACCGCACTGAGCAGATCTGACAGCTAACATTTTATTGCTTTATTTGACCTTAATCTGCTCTTGAACTTTGTCTACTGTTACTGGATAACCAGCAACTGCAAAGTGTGGGGAACCGAGGTGCCCCTTTCCTGCTGTCTAACTCAATGGCTCCCAGCTGTGTCTCTCTTCTGGGCCCATCCCTGCATCCCCTACTTCCATTCACACATTCCAGTCATCTTCGACCTGCTCCATTATAATATGAACATAATAAAATTTACAGGAAAAGGCATTTATATGATTAGAAAAGAGCCCGCACAGCTTGCACAAAAGAGACCCAAATTGAAATCTCAGTTTAGCTTTTAAATACCATGTAACCTTAGCCAAATGGCTTCACGTCTTTAAGCCTTGGGTTCCTCATTTATAAAATTGAGATAATAAAGCTTAACTTCGAAGATTATTATGAAGACTAAATGGACAGATAGGAAGAACGTCTGAAACAGGGCTTGAAGACTTGACCTATGGAAGCCGCTCTTGTTAGCACTAATATTAATATTAATAAATACTGGGCTGCAAGCTAGCATCATCATATTGGGTGATTTAAGATGTAAAATTTCCATTACTATTTTAGAGAATAATCGTGCTTTGATTTCTACAACATCAACAAAACTACACATGAAAGACCATAAAATAGGACAGCCATTGAAAATTTTCCTGTCATAAAATTCTTGAAAATCAACTGTCCTGCTGATTGACAATAAAACTCAAAAACAATAAATGAAACACTTCAGCTTGTAACCTCGTAGGTGAAGTCAGCGGGAGCTTACACACCCCACTTGTCAGGGTGCGCAGATAGTGATTTTCCTAGTAAATGTTATAAAGGCCCCGTGTTGCCCACACTGCTGTGTCCTGCCAGTGGTTTACCAAAGGCCTCGTTCCTCAGCTTGCTCACTCAGAAAAGAATCTACATTTCAAGGAATATTATAAGAAAAACGTACTGAAAAACACAGTTGGAACAACAAGGAAAAGTTGGTCTCAAACTGGTGCCTCAGCAAATTTGATGAAAAAGGCTACGTGGATCCAATCAAGTGCATTTATCTTTTTTTTTTTTTTAATGGCGGAAGAGAAAGTACATATATTATAATGGGTACCCAGTCTGATTATAAAAAAAATTTAAAAATGGGGCCAAATGAGATACTTTTCGCTTGTCTGTGCCAGCCACGCATGCCCGTGAATACATGAATATACAAACGGGACATTTTCCTACCAGCCCATTAAAGTTAAAACATCAATCTTCATCGTATCAATCTCACAATATTAGACCCTGCCATTCTAATCTGGTATTGATAAGAATGAACAAGGCCTGGAATTTTACACCTGGGTGCATTTCGTTTTGTTTCTCTTCGGTGACAGAATTGAATATGACACAGCTCAGCGTGACAGCTGGGCCTGTCACCTTAGGGGCTTATACATCTTTAAAATTCCCACAAAAGTGAAACTGACTGACAGCGAAGCAAAATGACGCTTTTAACTTGAGTTGGAAGATCAGGAAAGTCAAGGGAAACACTCCAGAGTTTGTTTAGGCCCTTCAGTGGGGAGCTTCTGGAGGAAATCGGTTTGGCTTCTCCAGCGCTATGTGGCTGTGATCTGGTGGGACCCCCTAGACTGGCCTGGGGACACCTCCACACAGAGGCCATGGTGCTAAGTGGTGCCAGCT